ATGCGTCACACAAACCGAACCGTCGCGAGCGCAGACCGACACTACCACGTTAAATTGTCCTACAAATATCATTGGAAACCTCATTGTCACCAGGGCGATGCCCTTTTTCTTCCAACGATTCTGTTCATTGAACGTTTGAACGGCTTGCTTTCGCATCTCGTAATCGGCTGATTTCGACAAATCTTTTATCATGGTTTCTAATGCGATTTTATCTTCTTCTTTCATATTTAACAATCTGACCTGTACCGGATCCTTTTTTGTCACTTTCGCAATGTGCTCCATTATATTCTCTATCATACCTAATGCTTCTACAGTTCCTGGCGCACGAGCGTATGTGTTTGACGCTATATCAGTTCGTACGTCGAATCCATTGAACGTCCAATTATCGGTTGTATAACAAGCGCTGATGAAAAAACGAGTATAAATCAATTAATAATTTAAGGTTAGTTGTGAGAGTTTTCAAATTTGGTTTAGGCATTTTAAGAAAATTATTTTATTAATCTACGTAATTCTATTTAACTTAATATCATAATATTTCTTCTTTTATTGACTTTGATTTTAAACAAAATTGGATAAAAATTATAAATTATTTTAATATTTTTCCTTGCTTAAAAAAATTTGTATTTAATTTTGAAGTGTTATGCAGAATTCAATAGACAAGTATTAATATTTGACAAGTGTACTAATATTTTACTAATAATATATTCTCGTTACAGATTGTTTATATATTTTTATACATGCGTACTTTTGCATGAACGAAACCACTCTGTCAGCTTGTTGCACCTCGTTGAAACTGGAACCGCAGTTGCCCCAATGTTTCAAGTTGAGATACTGGATAACTCCCTCATTATCCACTCCGATCTCATATTCTTGCCGTGTAGAACATCTCTTGCCCACAGATTGCATATTGTCCTCTATCGTCATAACGAATCGCGCTGGACGATTCAGTTTGTGACATACCAGCGCGCAAGCACATGAGACTTGCACGTTGCGTACCAATTTCCCTCCGTATCCACCGCCAAGTCGTCTGACAAACACATTGATGCTAGAAAAGTTTAATTCACGTAATTAATGTCAATTTGATTTAGAATGCATTTTTTTGAACGTGTTTTAATTTATTTTTTTTATTAGAAAAATAAAAATGTCTACTTTGGTTTCCATTTTATATTAAATACGTATAATTAATTTCAGTTTTTATCTTAAGTAATCTTTTTTGTTGTTTTAATGATTTCGTCTTGTAGATTAATATTGTATTGATTGTAAACACGGAAATGTATGTAGATTACAATAGCTTAATATTTTGTGATGAAAATATGAACATCACATGTATGAGAAAATTGAATTAATGATATAATTATTTTAACATAGTTGAGAGATTAACTTCGAAATTAATAGATTAATGCGTTACCTATTATTCTTAACATTGAGACAAGTTGCGATTGATACTTGAATCAAATCCATCCATTGCGTCGATGGGTAGACGTTCATTCCATCCTCCACAGGAACGCTCACGCAGGATTGAGTTTCCATGGTATAGTGGTATTGGCCACCGAATTGTAAGACGTCCTTTATTACATATTTAGTATTATTTCCTGTAAAATATAGAAAACTTCTATATTTCATTATATTAATTTTTCTTATTTCTTATTAATTTCAATTAATAACAGTTACTTGTTCTATTTCGAAAATTTGCAAACACGTAGCTTATATCTCATTTCTTTCTAGAAATTCAGAGTTATTTTTGCTTCTATTTTTTTTTAAATAATTGTAATCGATGGGATAATTTCAATATATAAATGCCTTCTTTATCAATTTTTACCTTTTGCTTTCGCCGGAACGTTCGCGCCCTGTCTGATTCTAGTATTGTCCTGCGTGGCAAGTGCATCCTCGATGCTTATCACCGGCTTCGTTTGCAGAGATCCGCTATATTTAATTTTCACCAATTTCGCGGCCTCGTTTGCCAAATTATGCGTTTCGGCGACGATTACTCCAACTGGCTGGCCGGCATGCTGAACATCCCTTTCGACGAACAGCAACTCGTCGTTTGGCAACAAAAACAACTTGCTGTCGGCTGAGATGCACAAATTCTTGCCGGGTATGTCCTTGGCGCTGAAAAACGCCACTACACCCTTCACAGCAAGTGCCTTGCTCGCATCTATACTGTCGATCATGCCGTTACCGACTTTCGTGAGGACGAAAGCGCAAAATACTTCTCTAGGATAAGGAGGCAGATCATTGCAATATTGGGCTTCGCCCGATGTCTGCTTAATGGCATCTAATTTCGGCATGGGCTTATTCACTGGCCACAGTGTT